AGCTTCACGGTAGTAGAATAAAGCACACACGAGCACACTTAAATAAAGCTATATATGCACTTACGAGTACTTCAAGAACCCTTCATAGGGCGTTGTGCCACAGTGTGGGGCGGTGACTGTGGTGCGTAGTACTGCTGTCTTGTCCAGAGCTGTGATGATTTCTGGTGCCTCTGGTAGTACCACCACAGTGTCGTTGTCTGCCACCTGAGAGTGCATGCACGGATGTGTTCATGTACGTATGAGTATGTGTACAAGTAAGTTCGTTTACGTATGATTATGTGCAAAGGTAAATTCACATACGTCCGAGTATTCGAAAAATTAAGTTCATTCACGTGTGATTATGTGTAAAAGTAGGTTCATTTACGTAGGTGTATATGAAAAGTAAGTTCATATACGTACGAGTATGTTCATAGGTGTATGAGTAACGGATAAAACAGTCTCAGTGCGACTGCGCACATGCGCTGGTGGCTCGTAGGTAGGCCTATGGGAGGTGTACACACTGCCGCACACTAGGGTTTGATAAACCCTAAGCCCTAGATCCTGTCTCCTCTGTACTACGTATAACCCCACAGGACACGGACCTACAACTCACTTACCTTAGACGTACAGATGGACTACACAAAATGTCACAGAAGCCGTACCTACAGCTCACATAACCCTGCAATCAACCCAACTCACTTATTCTCGATGTACAGATGGTAGTTAGAAATACAACCTACCAAACCCTAAACCCTACAGGCTAGGGTCTAGCACTATGTAGCGTAAGGCTACGCTACAGCCTGAGGCAGGGAGAGAACACGCACGTGCTCTCAGATTACCTACCTTTTTAAATGACCGGTCGAGGCTTTTGGTAGTGCCCAGCCAGTTGGTGACGATGAGTGTGACTGTGTAGGTAACACCTATGGTAATCGCCTCGCTGGGGATGGTCAGTGTCGCACCTAAATCCACACACAGCAACATACATAGCAACGCACATGCCAACGAATATGGCAACGCACATGACAACGGGTGGACGGTGTGGTGGTACAGGGATGATTAGGAAGTGGTGCCAGACGGAGATATATATAGTAGCTGTTTTATCTGTCCAAGGGGGAAAGACTCATCTCAGAAAGAACTGTCAATGTCAATGGGAGACCTAACAAAACCATATCAAGTTACGGTATACACTGTTCATGCACTTACACACACACATACACACATGAGTGTAGCGTACCTCTGGTCTCATTGATGCCCTTCCCACTCCACACAAACTCTTTGAATCGGCGCCCGCCATTGCCCAGACTACCAAGGCCACTCAGTGTAATGTCATCGCACGGCCCAATGATAGACGGCCCTGTTATGTAATAAAGGACAGGACATTCGGGTGCACACGATTATTTGATGCAAAGGCCACTCAGTGTAATGTCATCGCACGGCCCAATGATAGACGGCCCTATTATGTAATAAAGGACAGGACATTCGGGTGCACACGATTGTTAGATGCAAAGACCATTCAGTGTAATGTCATCGCAAGGACCAATGATAGACGGCCCTGTTATGTAATACAGGACGGGACATTCGGGTACACATGGTTATTAGATGCAAAGGCCACTCAGTGTAATGTCATCGCAAGGACCAGTGATAGACGGCCCTGTATGTAATACAGGGCAGGACATTCGGGTGCACACGATTATTAGATGAAAAGGGCGTCACTTGCGAATGTGTTGCTGGTATGCATACGGTTGTAATGTAACGAGTATCAGTGGTGTACTTATGAGTGTAATGCACATATATGAGCATTGTTGAATCTCGCTCGCTCGAGAGAGTGTGGGTAGGTATCTGTCCTGATGTCTTGTCCATGAACACAGGTGCACTACAATCTTGCTATACCTACCCATCACTCCACACCCATCACATACCCGACACCACTACGCGCACGGTAGGCTTGACAGTAATACTTGTAGGTAGCGATCCATTAGAGCTCATAGACGGCTCAACAGACGCAAACACAGACCCTTCCTTAAGCGTCAGTACATCCTTCTTATCGTCTTCATTAACCGTTGCCGCGGCGCCGAACTTGGCCAGGAAACTGTTCGGTCCCTTCTGCTCGCACGAGTTTCCGACGCCGAGTTTCACGACATAGGCGTCGTTAATTAGGTCGTTGCATGTGGAGATATTGGACCCGATGGTTATGGGAGTGTCAAAGACGACCAGCACACCGTCGAAGTTGGCGGTCACGTTCGCACTGGTAAGCACTGGGGCGCGTGTCGCAAATTGTACCTGATGTTTTATATTAATAAACGACATTGGCTTTAGGTGATACAACGTCAAGCTTCAAATACATTTGCGACCTCCAGATGTGTGCACTAGGTAGATTGCAGATTGTTACAATGCGTAAAATCTCAGCATACACACACGACATACATATAAAACCATAGCACACACACACGACATACATATACAACCATAGCACACACACACAACATACATATACAACCATAGCACACACACACAACATACATATACAACCATAGCACACACACACAACATACATATACAACCATAGCACACACACACAACATACATATACAACCAGAGCACAGCACACCCACACAACATACATATATAACCATAGCACACACACACAACATACATATACAACCATAGCACACACACACAACATACATATACAACCATAGCACACACACACAACTATACATATACAACCATAGCACACTACCTATATATTGCACACAGTACCATAGCACACATATATATAGTACATTATACCATAACATA